AGGTAACACAACCACTATACCAAATTCAGGCTGAGATCTATAGACATCTATGTTTTAGCATCTCTCCCAAGAAAACCTTTTATTTCAAGCTCACAACTGGTAACAAAATACTGTATAAAAGAAGAGAACTTCGAATTCATTTATTCCTATCTCTTTCTTTTATAGATTATGTAAGTGAGGCTTAGCAGAGGGAAATAACTTGCCTGATATTACACATCTAGTTAACAGATAAAGGAAGGGTTAAAGCCCAGTCTGACTTGCAGCCCAGATATCCAGCAGGCTTCACTAGGAGACAAAACATTTGCCAGGGAAGATTTATAATGCTACAAAGACTTTATATAACAGTGTAATGCTAGCACATTCCAAACTCATATTTCTAATATGGCTAAGTACCTATCTTTTATAATGAGCTAAATATTATTTAGGAGGCCACTGAAGTTCAACAAACATTTACTGAGTGCTCACTGGTGTTAGACATTTCAGACACTTAAATTTCATTAGTGAATAAAATGAAAACACTTTCTTACTGGCTTATATTCTAGTGAGAGGAAAAAACACAAACACAATAGATATATATGCAGGCAAACTGTATGTCAGAAAATGGCAGGTACTATAATAAAACTGAGAAAGTCAGTGGTAGTGGGAGAGCTATTTTGAAACACAAAAGGCAGGTTTCACTTTTTGTTTTGTTTTGTTTTATTTTTGTCTTTTTGAGACAGGGTCTCACCATGCAGTTCAGGCTGGCCTTGAGTTCACTTTGTAGCCCAGGCTGGTCTCAAACTCACAATGATACTCCTGCTTCAGCCTCCCAAGTGCTGGGATTACAGGTATGTGCCATCATGCCCAGCCCAGGTTTCACTTTTAAATGCAAAGCTGGAGTAAACCTCATTCAGATGTGAGAGTTAACCCTATGTACATGGTGGAAATGTTCTAGGCAGAGGAACAAACAAAATCCTAGGGGACAGACTAACAATGGATGAGGTATTAGAATTGTAAAGTGTGTGTGTAGGGGGGGTGTTTAACCACTGGATTAACTTCATCCACGAAATAAAAGTTATATATTTTCTATTTACACCATAAATATGCCATAACTTAAGAGGCCATAACTATGCTATATGGCTGAGGAAGTTAGTGTTGTTTTTTCCGAGATTTTTAACTATATCACAAATATCAGAACAAAAATGTTTGATAAACTGGTTTGACACTTTGTTTTGCTATGTAAATCAATTAAGTAGAAATTATGTCATCTATAACACCATATATTTATGCCAAAACTATACTCCATATTTACTATATTACTACAGTGAGAGTGAACCTTTTAGAGCTCTCAGCCTGCTGTGACACGTGTGCCATAGATTTCCCACCACTAATATATTTTGCCACATATTTGTAGTGTAATTTATGCCATCACTGTAATAATATGGTAAATATGGAGTATAATTTTGGCCTAAATATATGGTGTTCTATATGACATAATTTCTGTTTAATTGATTGATATAGCAAAACAGTGTCAAGGATGTGACTGTAGCTCTTCGGCAAATGTTAACTGTATTACAAATATCAGAATGAAAAAGTTTGACAATGTGGTTTTGATACAGGAAAATAAAAACTCCCAACCTGAATGTTATCTGGGACGAGTTCGTGTTCTCTAAAATCAAAGAATGAATTTCAGGAACAGCGGAGGTTAAGAGCAGAATATATTTATTGAGGGAAAGAAAAGAATGCTTCTGTCCAAGAGAGGGACAGAAGGGGGGCCCAAAGAGGGTTACCCAAGACTCTGTCTTTTCTAGGACTTTTATTGAGCAAAACCACGAGGTGAGGTGGGTCCAAGGTAGGGGAAAAATGGACAAAACTATGGTCAGCCGGTAAGACTTGTTCAGGTAAAATTGATTAAACCGGGATCAGATGGGGAAGTGAGTCACTTAGCAAGCGGGCATGAATACAGAACAGGAGCTTTTCCTGTAAGAGGTTGGGTCAAGGACTCTTCAAGGTGATTGCTACCTATTTAGAATATCAATCCCTGATGTCTATCCCTAGGAAGGTATGTGGGTGTATTTGTTTAGTCTTTGGTTTTGAGATCCGGCCCAAAGCAAGTACCACCTCTACATTTGTAAGGTATCTTGTCTTCCATATTGGCTCCTTCAAGAACCTGGCCCTGTCTGACTGCCTATATTTCTATCCAACTCAGCTGCCTATAACAGTTTGACACGTTGTTTCGCCAATTCAATCAATCGTACAGAAATTGCATGTGGGTTGTATACTACTGATCTGAAATTGTGGGTCTGAAGTTTCTTCCTCCGGGATTTTGTTTTTTTACTTAATTTGTAGTGGTGGGAGTGGGGTAAGGGGTGAGGGAGGATCTGGTATCTGGGCACTGGCATTTTTCAAAAGCTCCCTGGGTGATATTATACACGGCCATGGTTGAGAAGTAGTACTCTGGTACATGTGAAAAGGGATTTTATTTATTCTCATTCCTGCTCCTAAGTAATCTGTTCAATATGCTTATCATCGCTGCTCTACTCTTACTGCTATCTGGAACTCTGAAACCACAGACCCTCTTTGAAGAAGTCTGGGGACCTCTCCTATCCACCTCATTAGAAAGGAAAATTGGAGCCACATCTCTCTTTTAGTGCCTCACTTATACTGTCCCCACAATACAGATTGTGAATGCCAGAAACCTGAAGATTTGTGTTAGAGAATGAAAACGTAAGAGGAATAATGAGAAAAAGGGTAGCAACATATTTGTTGTCAAATTTGCTGAATACCAAATTTGAAAAGCAGTATTTAGTTCTAAGTTCTAGCATTATCAGGATGGAAAATATCCTACTTCCCCAAATCTTCAGTAAAGTCCATTTCATTTTTATGTGCCCCTCACACATATTTGTTACATGAGTAAATAAACTAATCTGGGCTGAATGCAAAAAGCAACGTCCCAACCCATGTTTTCCAAACCCTTCCAACTGTGTTTCTAGAAACAATCACTGCTCATTGTTTGTAGTGCTTTTTCTATCTGTATATAATGTGCCTATGCTAATTCTTGATATATCAGTGTTAGATCTTGCATACCTACTGTCAGGAAAGATAAGGGTTTGGGTGTTTTTTTTGGTTTTTTTTTTTTGAGACAGGGTCTTGCTATGTAGTTTACGCTGGCCTTGAGCTCATTTTGTAGCCCAGGCTGGTCTGGGAAATGATCCTCCTGCCTCAGCCTCCTGAGTGCTGGCATCACAGGCATGCGCCACCACGCCTGGCTGGAAGATAAGGATTTAACTACACCCAAGTCTTCCCTACTTGCAACATCTAATAAATGATTTCACTGTTGTTATCTCAAATTACATTTGTGATCTTAAATACTATATTTAAAAACAGATTTTGCATTTCAACTCTAAGCAGTTAGACAAGGATTTTATATACCAGATCCTTCTAGCTCAGTTGTTCTCTTTTACATTACAGTGCTAAACATTTACAACCTGTACTACAACCATAGTTAAGTGATTTTTACTTGTCTAGAGTTGGCTTCTGTCTACAGGGGCAGTGTAAATCTGAAAATCAGTACCTTCCCCCTCTCCCCACCAGGCAGTTACTACAGCTCTGCAGTCTTTCAATCTGGATAGGCCTCCTGCTATATAACCATCACTCTGAGTCTGGCCTTCATTTCCTTTTCTGAATTAGTTCCACTGTTTCATAGGTAGAACCTGCTCCAATTTCTTGGATAATCCCCATAGTTGATGGACTGTATTCTCAAAGAACATCCTAAAGTAGTAACAATAATTATTGATTAGGAAGTAAAGCTTTCTAGGTTTGTTTTTCATTTTGCCTCCATGTTGTTGATATACTTGAGTTGGGATAGAATTCCAGGTTTAAAGCACTATCCCTTCAGAAGTTTTAAAACACTGTCTCTTAATACTCAATCCTGTTGAGGAGAAATCTGTTGCCAAACTCATTCCTTTAGTTAGGACCTGAATGTGCACTGGGAAACTCAGAGTTTTCTCTTTATTCTTGCTATTCTTTTATTTCATGTGTGTGTTTTCTTTTTCCCTACTCAGCATTCAGGAGGGCTTTCACATCTGCACACTCATGTCTCCCTTAATTTGTCTACAAGTCGACAAACTTGCTGCTAAATAGGTTTTCATCCAACTATTTTCTTTCTCAGTTTCTGGAACTTTTATTCTGATACTAAAAAGTTATATTAATTCTTATGACTTATTTTCTGTCCTATGTTGTTTTTTTCCACTTCCTTTTTTCTAATCTTGCTGTAATGTAATAGTGCCTACAGATTGATCTTATAATAAGCAATGAGACAGAAAAAAAAAATCTCTCATAGCTAATGTTCATCTCTTCTGCTTAGTTCAAGGCTGACCCCGTTAGTCCTCTGGGTTTACTGTTCTCTGACTGCTTGGATTCACTGCTACCATAGGCCAAGATTAATGTTTTGTGTTGGGTGTTGTCTTACTTTCTTGTTACTGAGACACAATACTTGATACAGCTTAAAGGAGAAAAGGTTTATTTTGGCAAAGTTTTTTTTTTTTTTCCCGGTACTGGGAATCAAACTCACGATCTTACACTTGCCAGGCAGGCGCTGTGCCGCTGAGCTAAATCCCCAGCCCCTATATTAGCTAAGTTTGTAGAGGTTTCAGTTCATAGTAAACTGGCTCCAGCACAGGGCAGCACGGCAGAGAACTGCTCATGGCAGGGCAAGCACGCAAGAAGCAGAGGTTAAGGGAGCAAAGGGGGATAGCTCCTTCCACTTACTGGTATCAGGCTCCCATGATCCAGTCGCCTCCCAAAAGCTCTTGAGGCTTTGTGGGAGCAGCAAGGCATACATGACAGGCATACAGCAGTGAACAAAGGAAGTTCCTTACTTTGTAGTAGAGGGAAGCAAAATTTTATAAAATTAAAATATTGCATGCAGGCATAATTCTGGAGACAGCAGCTGCAGTGGTAGCTTTCTGACTTGGAAGGGAACTTGTTCACAGATGGGCAGCAGTTCCCTTGTAACTTACTCTTGCAGTGCAACTTTGTAAACTGTCCCAAGTCCTTCCTCTATCATGTTCCTTCAGCAGTCCTGTGACTCTGTAAAACAAATATTAGCCCCAAAGAAATTCTGTTCATCCTTAGATCAGCTAACGTAAATTCCATGAACTCTGTTCTGTGCAACTGAATCTGACTGCTACAACCTTCACCTAAGTAAATTGTATTTTTTAGTGGAAAGTCCCCTTGGTATTTTTCTTTGTCCCTTAAGATCAAACTGCAGCAGCAAACCTCATTTGAAGAAACCAACACAGCTACCATCCCCGATTTTGTATGTAAACAGGGAAGCATTCCTACTATTTGCCATCTAGGTAGAGAACTGAATTGATGCAATGAGAATTCCAAGCTCTCAGTATTTTACTGTAACCAGCAAGTATTAATGGTCTGTGAAAAATGACCCTGAAAGATAGCTGAGCTTCCCAAAGTTTCAAGTTAACAAAGATGTAACCTTTTCTAGAATGTTTTGTCTTGTTTGTTTGTTTTCCGGTACTGGGAATTGAACTCACAACCTCGAGCTTGCCAGGCAGGCACTGGGCCACTAAGCTAAATCCTCAGCCCCTCTAGAATGTTTTCTAAAAGTCTTAGTCTTTTTTTTTAGTCTTTTTTTGAGACAGGGTCTCACTATACAGTTCAGGCTGGCCTTGAGCTCATGTTATAGCCCTGGTTGGCCTCAAACTCGAAACAATCCTCCTGCCTCAGCCTCCCAAGTGCTGGGATTACAGGTGTGCACCACCATGCCTGGTAATTAGTCTCTTAGTCTTACAACAAATTACTAGCTTTTCTGACATGGCCCATTGACAGAGTTTATGAAACACAACAGTTTATTTTGAATAGCTGACATTAAAAGTATTTGCCAGGTGTAGTGGCACATGCCTGTAAATCCAGTACCTTGGGAGGCTGAAACAGGAGGATCACAAGTTCCAAGCCAGCCAGGGAAATTTAGCAACTAAGTGAGACTCGTCTCAAAATACAAAAAGAATTTTTTAAAAAAGACTATGGGTATAGTTCAATTTGAAGGCCCTGGGTTTAAACCCTAGCACTACACAGGCTGTGCACACACACATTGCACTCATAATTTGTTTCTAGAAAATGCAAAAACACATTGTCTTCGCTTGGGCTACCACAACAAAATACCGTAGGCTAGGTAACTTAAACAACAGAAATTTGTTTTCTCACAAACTAGATATAAATTAGACTATCAGCTGATTTGGTTCCTGGTGAGGGTCTCTTCCCAGCATGCTCTTTTATGCTGTGCCCTCCACTGAGGAGTGTGAGCTCTGGTGTCTCTTCCTCTTCTTCTAAGGCACAGATTGTTACTGATTAGGACCCCATCCTTACAGCCTCATTTTGTTACAGCACAGTGGATCTGAGAGATTCTGTGTTCCTGTGTGTGGCAATGAATTGCAAAGCATATACTCAGGGGGGAAGGAAAAGCAGCAACTTTTATTGAAGACCAGAAACAAACGAATGGATGACAGAAAAGGAACAATTCACATCATGCAGACAATCAGGCTCTTGGGCTCAAGAGTGAGAAGGATTAAAAAAAAAAAAAAAAGAGTGAGAAGGGAAAAAAGGGCTTGCATACGCTTTGGTCTGGGGTTATACAGAATGCTCCTAAGGTAGCGTTGGAGTTCCAGTGAGCGGAGGGGAGTGACTTCCTCAGTCCCCAACATCCTATCTGTACTAACTCCACCTTAACTACTTCCTTATGGGCTGTATCTCCAAGTATAGTCACACTGGAGGCTGGGGCTTCAACATACAAATCTAGAGGAACACAATTCAGTTCACAGCACATACTTTTTAGAATTTGTTTTTAGAAAATGTAAAAATATTTTACAATATTAGCGATAGTAAGAAAAATGACATTTACTTGTTCACTAATTTGAGCTGTGTATGGTGATGCTTTTAAACATTTTCTCATCCTCAAAACCAGTGAATTACAGTCTATGACCCTCATGTTACAGGCCTGGAAATAACGGCCAGAGATACCGAGTACTGTACCCAGGTCACACAGCTGGCATAGTGAAACTCCAGTACAGACATCCTCTGAGCCCCTACATTACAATTTAATATATAAAATGCTGGCACATTATAGAATAGTAAGAGTAAGAATGTTAGGTAAGAATTCTACAACCAGGGGACCCTGCAGACTCAGAAGGTACCATGAATGCTGCCTTAAGCTACACATACCGTATTGTACGTACTGTATTGGGGGCACTTTGTGAAAGGAGTGCTGAGCTCTTGAAGTGCAAGTGAGAAGGGCGCTGGGGATTACACACTGATTGACACAATCTCTGACAGAGTCTGTTTCCTTATCACCTCAGTGACCTTGGTTTTTAAATTTAAGTAAGATTTCACCTACGACTTCAAAATTAAAATGTGAGAATTCTGGTATGTCCCATTTACCATTGGAAAAATCCTGTATGGTTGCTGTGACCTAGTTTAATCAAAAACCATTATCAAATGTAAATTATGATAAGCACACTCGCAAGGTTAAGTACAAACCAGATGAAGCCCAAAACGTGACATGCCCACTTCATTACCTGTTCTGAAAATACCGCAGGAAAACTCAAAATGAAAACAAGGCCATAAAGGAAAAATGTGTGACAGAACCCTTGTGAACATTCTTTCAGTGTCAATTACTAAACTCTGCCCCGGACTGGATTGGTCAACTACGTGTGAAAAATTGAGCTCCTTTAAAATGATAATGATACAAATGTTAAGGGAAAAGTTATTCCCCGGATTCAATCTCAGAACCAACATGAAAATAAGGTAAACTTGTTAGGCTGTTCAAAGAGGAGCCCGGTAGTTAACTATGGTGTCAGGGTGATAACTTACTGTACAGGGAAGAGCCACTCTGGGTGTGGGTGGCGCCAACCAATAGGCTTCTGGCCTGGATGGAATAAAAAGGGAAGTAGGAAGTCTGGCTTCTGCATCTCTGGAGCAGCTCCCCTGTGCCCGTTGCCTTTGGATGTCCCTCTCCAGCCTTCCAATGCCCGCCCTTCCACACGGCGAACGGTGAGGACTCTGACGCGACTGACAGGACTTGGACTTCTGCCGGGCTCCTCCAGCGCCCCAGCGCCCAGGCAGCGCTTCTGTACTCTCCCACAGCTGACTCTGGAAGCCGCCACTGTAAGCCTACCTTGTAATTTTTTTTTAAGTAAGAGTAGGAAAATTTACTAGAGAAAAGGGATGAGGAATAGAAATAGCTCCTGAGAAAGAGGAAGGGTCCCGAATGGTTTGCCCGTAAATTCTTTATATGGTATTTATATCTGTGTATTCTGTTCCTCTAGTAACCATAACTGAGGAGAAAAACAGATTTAAAAAAAAATGGTGAATACACAGTACTCTTAGATTGAATAATCCTAGAGGTAAATTGAGTCCTACAATTCTCCTTACCTGGCTCAGAATTTAAAATATGTGCGAATTCCAAGCGTGTGCAACAACACTCAGCAAACCTTGGGGTTTTTTTTTTGGTTTGTTTGTTTGTTTTGTCTTTTTGACACAGGGTCTCACTATGCAGTTCAGGCTGGCCCTGAGCTCACTTTGTAGCCCAGGCTGGCCTTTAACTCGCAATGATCCTCCTGCCTCTGCTTCCCGAGTGCTGGGATCACAGGCGTGCGCCACCACATCCGGCCTCACACATTATGGTTTTTTTGTTGTTCTTTTTTGTTGTTGTTGTTGTTTGGGTTTTTTTTTTTTCCGGTACTGGGAATCGAACTCACGACCTTGCGCTTGCCCGGCAGACTCTGTGCCGCTGAGGTAAACCCCCAACCCCACAGATTATGTTTTTAAAACTGTATTTAAAAGCGGGGCGCGGTGGCGTTCTTCTGTAATCCCAGTACTCTGGGAAGCCGAGGCAGGCAAATTCCAGCCCAGCCTGCCTGGGCAATCTAGCAATTTAGGGAGACCTTGTCTCTAAAACAAAAGCAAAACTACAAAGAAAACCACCTCACACCATACATTATAAACATATCAATCTTATATTTTTAACACCCCAAATAATGAGGGGGGTAGGAAGTTGGAAAGGTCGCTGTAGGACAGTATGCAATCAATCCCTCCTAGTTGTCCGCCCCTGCAGCTCCTGTGCCCCTCTTTCAATTTCTGACAAATGGGGACACTCACTATCAGGATCCTTCTAACTCCCGGTTGCATCACAGTCGGCCGCGTTCCTGCCGCTCCCCTCCCCCGCAGGGCTGGGGTCAGAGGAGCTGACACTCGGGCGGGTGTCTGAGAGCCACTTACTCAGAGGAGGGGAGCTGACCCCTCCAGGAAGCCGGACTTCCCCAGCCTGAACCTGTGAGTGGGGCCCGGGCGCCCGAGGTTTGCGGAGTGATGCAGGCTCCAGGGCTAGCACGGAGAGCTGCGTTACGCCGGGCTCCCGGGGGCGGGATGTTCGGGCTTCCCGGGAACTTCGGCGGGGTCGCGGGAGCAGGACGACCTCCTGCCGGGGTCCCGCAGGCCCGGAGCCTGGCACCCCCTGTCCCGCGCCCCGCCGAAACCC